CCTGTCTGACCACCCCCTCAGGTTTTGTCCCGTATAATAAACCTGTTCGAACTGACCGTCTGCCTCCGGGTGTTTTTGGGTCCTCTGAACCGTACATTACACCTTCCCCTGGCTAAATGTCTGGATGTCCCCATCAGACAACTCTCTAAGTGTTAAAAGAGTTGAGAAACTCCCCTAGCTGGGAACCCAACAGGTTACACACTGTAGCCACCTACACATTAATTTTGTCTAAAAAAAGTTTTTTACATTTTTCATATTTCCAATTTCTTTTTTTTTTTTTAAATCAGTCCACTTAATTTTTTGTTGTGCTATTTATAGGTCACAGATGATGAAAGCACCTCCTTAAAATACCTTTATTATGCCTACTAGGCTTTTTGCACTGCTGCTATAACATGTGAATTTCCCCACTCTGGGATAACTAATAGAATTCAAAAAGAAGCCTTAAATTATTGTTTGTATCAGCATGCCTGTTAAAATCCCAAACGGGTCGCCTACTTGTTTTTGGATGACTTGATTGGAAACTGTCTGACAATAGCTTGAGCCTGAGCGGTTGTGTTTTCACTCTTCGATTTTTTTTCTGTTCTATTTTGGACAGGACTCTTACCCAGCAGGTCACTCAAAGCCAGCAGCATTTTAAAGATCCACTGTTCTCCGCATTTAACATTAGATTTTCTTTATCTTACATAATATTGTTCCAATGTAGACTGTCTCTTCACCACTCCACATTGTTCTGTTTTCAAGGCCTTGTTTTCTGCATGTATTGGGGGAGAACTATTCACATTTGTTTTGTGCTGTGGCCCCCAGGAGACAGAGAGTCAACACAACATGGTGTGTACTGCCGCATAAGGCACACACACATCAACTTACTTTCTTACTTTTTTTTTTGCTGGACACACCTGAAACCAGGTCCGTCTCTCTCTTGTCCTGGATTCTTTTTTTTCTCTAGGGGTTTTCTCTAAAATCTCTTTGTCAGGAAGTCAATAAGAGCTTCCTGTGCAGGAGAGCTGTTTTCAAGTGACTGTTAAGATTAAATATGGACGGCATGTCATGGTGGGATTATTCTGAGAACTAGGATGCCAAGGTGGACTCCACTGAATATACTTTGAATAAGAACATTCTGTGTAGTATTCATATAAATTGACATAACAGTCAACCTTCATTGCTGTATGAATGTATTATGTATTACTACAATGTACAATGTATTATTACAAAAGTTGTTGTTGAACCTCAAAACCCAGAGCATGACTCTGGTTTCTATTATTTAGTCTCTTTTTTTCCCAGCAGCCTTCCTCCTCCTAGCTGGATGTATTTCTTCTTTTGGGGTTTTTGCATTGAACGCTCATCTCATTAGCAAAAAGTTAGCTGGCTTGTGTTCTGTTCTTTGAAGCAGTTCTCCAGATCAAAGTTCCACTGAAAAGCTACGAGGAAGCTTGTTATTTGATGCCCTGCAGAAGGCAGCACTTTATTTTTGGCAACAGGGTGCCGACTTTCTTTCAATCAGACCCGTACCATCCTTAACCCACCGAACAGACCGGTTACACGCTTCTTCAAAGTCCTTCAGTTTTGTACAAATCCATTACAAATAATTGATAAAGCAGGTTAAAAACAATATTTGACCAAAGAGCTGTACATTCAGATAAAAAGGTGGCGAAAGGAAGAAATACAGCATGTTAAATCAATCACCCTTCACCTGCATTCAGAAAATGAAGCTTATTTAGGCAATTTGAAAAACACTGTTTATGATATTCTTTTGAAAATATAGTTATGTCATGGAAACGGCTCTCAGTGTGTTGTTGTATTGGACTATCGATAGCAAAAATAAAATCAAGCATGGCACTATGCAGGACAATTGCCATTCTATTCTAATATCAGAAAAAGCAACATAATAACAATAAACTGACTTCTATATAATAACAAAGAGAAGTAATAAAAAAGAGGAAACAAGAAAGCTTCGAGTTAGTAGGCTGCATATTGAAATATTTTCTATTATTCCATCTCAGAAAATTAAACCAGAATGTGTGTGTTATGCAGATAAAGTAGGAGTACGGGCTGAGAGCAGGAAGGATATGGAAGTGTCATTGCAGCAAAAGTTAGCTGAAACACAGGACAATCTCTTATTTCAACTCCCATCCCTGACCCATCACTACCACTGACAGGAATGGATACAAATGAATTGTTTGCAGCGATAGAATTAGGTTAAGGCTTTAGCAAGAGTACTGTTTCCGAATACTTTTTTTATTAAAGTGTCTTGTGGCAGCAAGTTTCACTGCCGTGTGCATGACGACATGCGGATTTGTAGTTTCCATTGTAGGAGACGGGTTTTTGTGTCTGAGGTGATGTAAGAACAGATGATCAAAAAGGCTGCTGGTGAGAGGTGGAGCTACATGTTTCCGCGGTAACTGACAAGTAAAAACTTTCTGCGCATCGCATTTTCCTTTGAGTGAAGCAAACATGTGCTCACACACCTCCGTGTAGTTGCCGCTCTTGCTGTAGATGGCAGAGAGGAGGCGGTAACATTCGATGCAGCTGCTTTCTCTGGATATGATGTCCTGGGTCATCTTTTCTGCCTCTTTGGATTGGCCAGCCATGATAAAAACCTGAGCCAGGACAAACAAAAGTTGTTCTGTTTTTTTTTTTTAGGTTTCATAAGTGTGTTCAGGACACAGATGTTGATTTGCAAGCGAGTGGTTCTGACGTGCCATGATTGGCTACGTGCTTGTTTCAGCTCACCAAAGCCAGCCAGATCTCAGTGCTGTCCGGCTGCAGGGTGACAGCCTCTCTGTACACCTGCAGGGCCTCCTGGTAGCGGCCCGTGTTGTAGTACAGCGCTCCAAAGGGGGGTCAGGATCTCCACCTTCCCATAAATTGGTAATAGCTTATACATCTTAAGACCTCTGTGCAGGGTTTCTTGATCTATAACAAGTGTAGAGTAATGATCTTTCTAAGTTTCACCTTGGAGCATGTGGAGTTGGCACCATGTATGAATAAGGATGAGGACAAAGGGGTTAGATTTTCATGTTGCCATGGTGATGACGACCCTGTTGGTGTCCTGCAGTACTTTCTTCCTCTCCAGCTGATCAACAACACCGTGATGACCCAGTGGATGGAAATCTTTCGAGCTGTAATGGACCGAGACGTCCCTGCCGTAAGACACACACTTCTGAGCTGTTTTATTAGATAATCTTTGCTCATTTGTACATTGTAATCAGTCCATCTGGCCCAATCCACAATATTAACTTTGTGAAATGTTCAAATCCTGACCTGGGCAAAACCTTCACTTGGTAATTTTGTTTTACTGTATTTTTCTGTTAAAAAAACACAAAAAAACACACAAATGAACTTCTCTTTGCCAACATAATTATTTAACAACATAACAATATTATTTATTCATTTTTGTGGGACTTACAACTCCAAAATACAGTTCTAAAAAATTTGTCCGGTCAGCATGATCACCAGCTACTTTGAACCGAATTAAACTTGCGATGGTGTGTGTGTGTGTGTGTGTGTGTGTGTGTGTGTGTGTGTGTGTGTGTGTGTGTGTGTGTGTGTGTGTGTGTGTGTGTGTGTTAAACCTAGCCCTGATCTCCAAACCACTTATCCAAGTAGAATCTGTTTTTGCTGATAGTAGTGACGGTTGGGCTTTGGATTTAAATGATTTTGATTGGATAGATTTTTCAAATTTGGAAATTCTTTTTATTTTCTAGGCAGAGATCTTCACAAGGGTCTTTCAGAGGGAGGAGAACGAGGATAAGACCGTCATGGCTCTAGGCATCCTCAGCACCATCCTTACCGTTATGGAGGATCACAAGGAGGTCTTTAAAAAAACAAACAATTTATGTGTAAATGCAGAAATGGTTTTATTTGACTGCGTCTGAACTGAAACGCTGACTTTGATGTCTCAGATCACCCAGCAGCTGGAGGGGATCTGTTTGCAGGCGATCGGACTGGTCCTGCAGAAGCCCATCATAGGTATGGCAGGTGTGTGTTGGCGGGCAAACGGACCGTGTTTTCAAGCTCATTAATGAAATATTTATGTTCTTGCTGACTGGGCAGGAAAATCTAAATAGTTGTCTCAGCTTCCACTTCCTCTAAAAACACAAAGGTTAAGGCATGGGATTTACATGCAGCATTCCATTAAAGATTTCCACAGCCAATTTAACTGGCAGAGCGCCTTTAGCTTTAAGTAAGGATACTGATTTCCATCCAGAGGTGCTTTCAATTTTTGGTTTTAAGTCTAA